AACCTGGACTGTGTCTCTCCATTCTCTTAGTGTGTAGGGTTCCTGGTGAGAGAAGTCAGCTGTACTGATCTGAGATCCTTTGGAGGTAATCTGTCCTTTCTCTCGTGCACATGTAGGATTTTAAATTTGTGTTTTACTGTGGAAAGTTTGACCACATTGTGTCATGGTCTTTTGGTCAAGCCTATTAGGAGTTCTATGTATTTCCTGTACTTGGATATCCCTTTCTAGCTCCATTTTATGGAAATTTTCAATTACTGTTTTGCTAAATAGGCCTTCTAATCCATTCTGTCTTTGCACGCCTTCAGGAATTCCTAAGGCATGTATTCAATAGTGTCCCATAAGTCTTGAACACTTTTTATTTTTTCTCATTTCTTCTTTTTTGTCGGGATGAGTATTTAAAAGATTTGGCTTCTAGTTCAGCAATTGTTCTGCCTCTGCAAGTCTGTTAAGGCTTCCCACTGTATTTTTTATTTGGTAAATTGAATTTTTCATTTCTTGCATATTAGTTTGGTTTCTCTTACATTTCTACCTCAAAGGAAAAATTCTTCATGTCATGTATGGATTTGTTTAATTCTTACGTTTGCTTCTCATTTTTTACTAGCTTTATGATCATCTTTTGAAACAATTCCTCAATCTCTTCATCTTTGAAGTCTAAAAATGAAGTGTTTTGTGTTCCTGTGGGAGAATCCTGTTGTCTTCCTTGTTCATGTTGCTCTTGTATCACTGTTTATTCTTATCCATTTCAATAAGGACTTGTGGTTTTTCTCCTCTGATGGTTTTTATCTTGGTGCCTCTGTGGCTTAATGGAGTCACTGCCCCTTTAGTGGATCTCCAGGGGTGTGCGCTGGGCGTGGGCTGTACACTGTGGTCAGTGCTCAAGCATGGGCTGAGTTCAGGGTGACACCCCTGTTGGTCACGGTGGATTGCCTCCTTTGTCTTCACATGGGAGGCAGTGATCATGACTGTCACTGTAAACACAACCTACCCTCAGCTGTTTCCAGGTGATAGATGCCCAAGGTTGTGCCACAGCGGCTGTAATCCCCAGGCATGCCAGCACCAGTACTAGGCAAGAGATCTGTGCAATTCGCTTTGTGTCCTGATAGTCAGCAACACTTTATACCCTACCATGTAGTAATATACTTCCCATAATTTTTGCATGCAAGATTTCCACCATCACAGGGTGCTGTAGCTCTCTACTCAGCTCCATGAGTCTGCCTTGACCATGGGAAGAGGTCTCTTCCCATCCCAGCTACCTGTAAGTTCTCCACCTGGCTGTTTATTCCTCAGGCTTAGGTGCGGGCTTTTCAGTTCCCAGGGAGTGCACCATGCCTTGTGTTGCCTCAGATCTGTCGGTGGAAGAACACTTGTTTTCTTGATAGAACTAGTGAGATGTATTCATCATATAGGGTTAAACAAATGCCTGTGGAGAGCTACATGCACATTCATATAAACCAGCTGTGCACTGAAGCTGCCCCCATTTCTATGTGTTCCATGATCCCAGCGTGGAAGACTGATCTGAGCCCATCAAGATGGCATCTTCTGCCCACTAGTTGGGTGCTCCATAGGGGCAAGGGGAAGCAAGGATAGCATTCTACCCCCACTATGAACAACAGGGCATGTCACTCCTTCACCTTCCCTCTGAACATGGGGTTGTTTTGATCCTGTGGGTTTCTAACAGGCAATGTCACTCACCATTTTGGCACCCACCTGTCCTGTTGTTCTCCTATAGTGAACCTGCCTGCTGCTGCACAGTCATGTGGTCCCCACTGCTTCACAGTATCCATGTCTTCGGCAGTAACCCCACCACTGAATTCCTTGTAGCTCTTGCCCATAGCATGCCTTGTCTGCCTCTCTCTTCATAACCCCTCCCAGGCAAAATTAGTGTGCCTTTGCCCTATTCAGCCAACCTAGAATCCCGTTTTTTTTCTTTTTAAAGACTTATTTATTTATTTGAATAGGATTTGGGGACCACACACACATATACACACACAAACATACACCTCTCATTTGCTGATTCATTCCCCCAAATGTTTGTAAAGGCTGGGTCTGGCCTAGGCTGAATCCAGGAGCCTAAACTCCACCCTGGTCTCTCACATGGGTGGCAGTAACCCAAGCACTTGAACCTTCTTCAGGTGCCTTTCCAAATGCATTAGCAGGGGGATGGACGAGAAGCAGAGCAACTGGGATTCCAACTGGCCCTTTGATAAGGAATATCAGTTGGCATTTCAAGTTGTGGTTCAACCTGATGAACCAAAACACAAATCCACCAAATAATTCTATTTTATTTGTGTGGCAGGGGAAGAGAGTAGGTGAGAACTACAAAGAGAGAAGCAGAGGTCTCCCCATTCATTATTCATTCTCTATTCTCTAAGTGCCTGCAGCAGCTGAGGCAGGGCCAAGCCGAGGCCAGTTCCAAACTACCAGTCTGCAAAGTACATGAGCTGAGCCCCAGGTGTGCATTAGCAGGAGGCTGGAGTTGGAAGCAGAGTCAAGCCTGGAGTGCAGGCACTGCAATGTGGTTTGTAGTCTTCCCAAATGGAGTCTATTTCAAAATAATTATTTACTGGAAAGGCAGCATCACAGAGAGGGAGAAAAAAGGGAGAGATTTATCATCCATTGATTTCTCCCAAATGACTGCACAGCTGGGGCTGGGAAGTTCACCTACATCTCCCATGTGGTTGCAGGGGTCTATGCACCCAGGCCATCTTCTGCTGCTTTCCCAGGTCATTAGCAGGGAGCTGGATAAGAAGCAGAGCTGCCAGGATATGAACTGGTGCCCGTGTGGGGTTCTGGCATTGCAAGTGGTAGCTAAACCTGCCATTCCTCCAATGGTGTTTTAACTGCAATGCCAAATGCCTGCCCCCAATTGGTCTTTCACTGAGCCCTGATAGGAAACTGAGCTGTGTAAGCACCTGAGCCCGCAAGTCCTCCTCCTACCTGTTAGTACGTTAGTCTAATTTTCACTCTCAGCATCTGTAGCTCTTAAATTTTCTGCTGTATGTAAATGATTGAAATGGCACCTAACACTGAGATGAGTGGATTCAGGACATGTCTGACATGTTTGTCTCAAGTGTACTATGTAGGTGGGAGTTCTGAGGTGGGGGGCTAACTTACAGGGCAGTGGACCTCAAATTAGTTTTGCTCACCTCCCACTCAGGCCAGGCAAACCTGCCTGACCTCTTGACTTGAGTTACTTTCATTTTTGAGTGGAAAAATAAATGAGCAATAATTGGAGGGGAGTGAGTTATGTATACATTTGCCTCTTCACTGGAGTGTGGCTGATTCACATTGGAACCACAATGTATACATGGCTCGGAGTCTAGTTATTGGAAAATTACAGCCTGAGAACACTATTGATGCAAATAAGCTTCAGTGTTCTCTGTAGGGTTAACCAGGCAGCCCACAACAAATACACTGATAATGATAAAGTGAAGCCAACAGTCATTCGTAATTAAAAAGTACTGATGGTGGCAGCTGAAATTTGTAACCATCTCAAGGCAATACTGGTGATGTTGGTGATAAAGAAAACTTCTCCCAGACTTGGGAAATGCCAGCCCTGGGTCTGCACATGTGACACCAGAGTGTTTCCCTATAACGGACACTGCACAGCTGAGGGATAGGCTCCATGGCACGACAGGAGGGTGCTGTCACCTTCGCCTTGCTCTCCTCATCCCTCACTAACTAGCAACCCTGGTAACACAGAAGAATAAAACCTCAGCCAGATGGCCCACAGCTCACCAGACTGTTCCCATTCAGGTTTTAAACACATTCCAGAGCTCAGGTAGATGCCCCTAAGAACACACCCCTGGCTCCTGCCACTCTCCGATTCCACAGGTGTCAGTATTTACTCCAGATGTCACCACGCAGCAGGAAGCTTCTACTCTACCCAGCAGGGTTTTCCCTCTCCCTGCTCAGGAATACCAGAGGCATGGATCTGCGTTTTCAAAGTGCGTAGTTTGTCGTTAAAAAGAGAAAAGGATTTTTCTAATACCCACTGCCAAACAACCTCCCAGAGGCAACATGAAGTGTGGGGGAAAAAACGCAGTGCTTGTGACAATGTATCTGAAAGGCTCTTATGTTCTTTACATTTGGGAAAGCATCTGAACTACGTGTGTGCGTGCACAGCAGCAGTCTGTGTGCCTGGAGTCTCTCGCACTGGGCATGAGAAGCAGGTGCTAAGGGTGGTTTCCAGGGAGCGGCTGTGGCTGCTGGAGGACAGGGAAGGTCTTGTAGTTTTTTCAGGTATCCATTCATGCTTTTTGAGTGTTGTGCCAGTTATGTATGGGCTAAAAATAACCATGAATTTAAGTTTAGAAAAAAATACCAAGTGTTCCTGCTGCCTGCATTCTATTCTTGTCCTTGCTTGCTTTTCTTTCTTTTTTTTAAAGAGGTGGTGGTAAAGTTTGGCTTATAGATTATTATGATGGTGCCTTCCTTCAAATCATAGTCAGTTATTGAGCAGGAGATTCCAGCATTTGAAGGCAAGCATCTAAATGAGGTGACAGGCTCTACGGCCGGGTCCTGGGATTCTGGGGAAAGATCTCAGTTCTGAAAAGCAATTTGCTTGAACTGTGTGCTTATTCATTTTCATTAACTGGAAAGGCAGAGGGGGAGAGACAGTGATTGAGAGCAAGACTGCTCATTCACTAGTTTACTCCTCAAGTGTTCAGAAGAGCCAGAGCTGGGTCAGGCTGAAAGCCCAGAACTCTGACCCCTGGTCTCCCAGGTCAGTGGCAGGGGCCCAAGCATTTGGGTCATCATATTCTTTGCCATGCACATGAGCAGGCAGCTAGATGGATAGCGACGGAGATGGGACTCAAATCAGCACTCTGATACAGGATGCTGGTACCCACAATGCTTGCTCTGAGAAATTCTTGGCAAGTTAGGTCTGTGATAAGTTTTCAGACCTCACATGTGAAATGTCAGAAGGTGTACTCTTAATAAGGCACTTGCACATTTGCAGCTTCAATATAAGGGAAAAAAGACAAGAGGAGACAAAATCCACACAGCATAGCATGTTTGAAAGAATGCATTTCTCTCATTTCATCCCACGTTAAGATCGCTCAAGGACACACATTGCTTATCTTGATCTGCTACCAGGAACTTATTAAAAGAGAATAACAGAACTATTACACTATTTAGTGTTTCCTGGTGAAAAATATATTTCACTAATGATGTAAAAAAATTCTTTCACATAAATTGACATAAGAAAGTACATTATGCTTGTATCTGAAATGCTTATTATGCTGACAAACAATTCTTAGAGCAAGATACTCAAGTGTGTATTATCTTAAGCGCTATAGGTTCTTGAATTACGACACAGTATAAGACAAGAAGGCTGAAAGGAATGTTCTGGACAGTGTGGGAGGCTAACTTTGAGTGGTGCAGACACAGATCATGGCAGCTCCCCAAAACCAGACAGGGCTTAGTACAACGTGCCTGCAGCACTAACAGGGTGGTCAGAGACTTCCAGAGGCAGGGACCCGAGCTGGTGTCTGCTAGGCGTATTTCTGACAATCATACGTGAAGATGAATTAGCACAGGGATTCTCCCAAGACCTAGGTCAGTTTAAGGGTGCAAATGTGAAGTCCCCCAAGCCATTCCTGGCTTCTCTAAGGGCAGTTATCTACCTGGCCAAAGCACAAACATCCCCTCACTCCCATGCTTCTCCTTGAGCTCCTTCCATGTTCTTCCAGGACCTAGCAAAGGACAGCCTGGCCAAGGGTGAGTGCTGCATTTTAAAGTCAGGTTCACATGGAGGAGATACAAGTAACCGCAGGCCCTAGAGTCACCCACACAAGGAAACTGCTCGGCTTTGGTCTAAATGACTTACATTTTTCCTTGCCTGAATTAGCCGGTAATTACATGTGGGCAGACTTTGCCAGAATGGTCTAAATGATCAATTAGAAGGCAAAACGGAGTTCCTTTCTTTAAAGTTCAAGGGTTCCTGTTGAAGAGCCCTACTTCATAAGCAATGCTCTGATGGGCCTGTGCCCAGCTCTCTGCCATGCCGAGTATATTGTACGTTTGCCTAATCATAATGAATTGAGTACTTATTTTGCAGGAAAATATAGGGCATTTCCATTACATGCAATCAAGCAGAAAGGCTGCAAAATGTGCCACTCCATTAATTCTAAACTGAATTCTTCCCAAATGTCACTCGAGTACAGGGTTATTAGAATATCTGAAGGAATTAAGGGTAATTTTCATTTCTACAAAGGATTTGAGGGACATGCAGTCCTGCCACACACACACACACACACACACTTAATTGGATTAAATTTGATTTGCCAATTGCAGTATGAATCACCGAGCCTTGACCTGGCCCGCCCCTGGTGGTGAGATTCGAGGGTTCTTGCCTTCTTTGGACACTCAGGTGTGTGCAGGTAGACCTTGACACACAACACATACACACATACCCCTGCAGAACATGCAAGGAACCCTATGAGCTAGTAATGAACACATTATATGAAGCAGAAAAACATGAGTTCCTGAACCTCTGAGCTCAGGGTCCTCCTCTAGAAGAGAACCATGATGCCCACTGCAGAGTCATGAGGCCGCATGAACTTGACTTGCAGGACCAAATGTGATGCCCAGCATGTGCTCACACCTGTGGGAACCCCTTATCCTGCATCTTCTGGGGACTCTGTTGCTGTTGCCTAGATTACACAGAGGGAAGATGGGACATGGCATCAGGGAGAGGAGGAGAACGCTCCCCGGCACCACTGGGTCTGGCCCCAGGGCCCGGAGGTATGGGTCATTTCCTATGTGTTGTCAGTTCCCACTGTCTGGGCTGCGCCTGGCTTTGAGGAAGAGCGTGGAGCTAGAGACAGGAGAGAAGCAAGGCATTCCAAAGGCTGGTCTGTGAGTGCCGGGGCTGCTCACTCCACATTTCGGTACTTGGTGAAGAGGTTGTACAGCACCCGCAGTGTGGATTTCAGGTCACAGTTGACGATGTCTGCAGGGGAGACAAAAGACAGGGATGCTGCTGTGGGGCGACCCATGCCACAGGTGGTGTTCACCGGCCCTGTCCCCGTGTGTCCAGCCTGCTCCTGGGCTGACTTGAGGGTATGGAAGAGTGGGAAGGTTGCATGAGGATTCAGAGCAGGGGGAAGTGAGAGGACAGATGCTGGGCCCAGGGCATACGCCTCTGCCAAAATCAGCCTCCAGAGCACATGGATGCTGCCCTGGAAACTGCTCTGCAGCTGACTGCCCTATTTCCCCTGTGTTAGGGCTGCTGCCCTCTGTCCCAGAGCCAGCAGTGCAGGTGAGAGGTAGAGGAAGGCCTGGGGCTACAGTGGGGGAAGAGCTGCTTCTCCTTTCACAAGGTGGGCTCCGGTAGGCACAGGGGTTCACCTGGCAGAGAAGGTAGTCAGCAGGAAGACACAGTAAGATAGTGGCAGGTGAGAAGCAGAGTAAGAGGAATGGGATTCAGGCACAAAGGAGAGTTGGGCCATAAGGGGACTTCAAAGGGTTAGAGGGGATACAGAAGGAAAAAATGTTTGTTTTGATACAAAGAACTGGAAAATCATGCACAGTTGCCTATATTATGCATTGTTTCCATGAACTTTTTGGAGACTCCTTGGATCTCAGGGAGGTTCCACTGCAGGTTCCTGAGCTTTTGTACAGCCACCTCCTGCCTGGAGCAGAGGGTGACTGCTGGGCAAGGACATCAGAGGGCACAGAATTGCAGGCTTCACAATGTCTGTTTTTTGTTTAATTATCTGAGTTTGGGAGGGACAGAGATCTTCCATCCACTGGTTCACTCTCCAGGGCTGAGCCAAGCCAAAGCCAGGAGCAAGGAGCTTTATCCAGATTCCTGTTTAGGTGCAAAGACCCAGACCCTTAGGCTGTCTTCCACTGCATCTCTCAGGCCATTAGTAGCAAGCTGGGTTAGAGGTGGAGCAGCTGAAACTTCAACTGGTGCCTATATGGGAATGCAGGTGTCCCAGGTGGTGGATTTATTCACCATGCCACAACACTAGTGCCACTATACATATTTTTTACAAAAAATTTCCTTGTGAGGCAAAGTGACAGGATGGGAGGGAGGTGGGAGACAGAGATCTTCTATCTACTGGTCCACCACTCAAATGGCCCCAATAAGCCAAGTTTGGTTGTGGCAGTCATGCTAAAGCTAGGAGCTCTGATCTTCCATATGAGTGTCATCTTTTGCTGCCTTACCAGCTGCTTTAGCAGGGAGCTGAACTGGAAGCAGAGCAGCTGATGCTTGAAACCAGCATTCTGATATGGGATTCTGGAGTAGCAGGGGTGTCCCATTGCACCACAATGCCACCCTTTAGTGTGTCTAATTAAATCCTGCTACTCTGGAGACCTTCACACGCATCTGTATGGCTGCAGAAGTTGAGGTATAGTGAGGCAGGATTCTAGAATGTCCTGAACTTCTAATTGTGGAGCTTGGATAACTTTGTAGGTTGAAAATTGGCAGCTGCCAGGCTGGATACAAAGCATGGGTGCATTCTGTTTAGTCTCCTTCCTCCCCTCTTCTGTGGCTGCCTACATCACCCTCCCTCAGCTTCCCCCACCTCCCTGCACCCACCAAGCCACCTCTCTGCTCCTGTCCTGGTACTCCCCCAGCAAGCCATCTGTTGAACACAAATGACACGCTGCTATTTCGAAATGCATACTTGGGCAGTAACATGAAATGGAAAAAACAAGAGCAAACCCCCATGAAGCTTAAGCTGAGATGGAGACTACCTTTAGGCAGGGCAGGGGTAGATTTTGGAGCTACTGTTAGGCTTGTCTCTGACCCAGGGGAAGGTTGTGTGGCAGCTGGTTGATGGCACCTCTGGGACTTGTACATTGATGACTTGCATGCCCCACTGAATATGCTTTTCATGGTGCTGAGGTAGTTAACAATAGTAATTGTGCTGGCAGTCAGATGGGGGAAGTGATGTGAGAAGAAAACGAATGTTCTTGTGATTCCCAGCTGGGAGGGGTCAAGCTGAGCCTTTGGGGAAGGTGTCAGGCAGTGTCCTGGTCAACAGGAACAGGGAGCCATGCACATTGGTAGGAGTAGGATGCTGGGGCTCTTGGGGCTTGGCTTTGGAATTCTTGCAGCCCCACCTGCCATAGTCAGGTGTACTGGAGTTATAGGCATGTCTATAACTGACTGATGAATACTGACTGAGCCAAAGCTGAGGGCCGGGGAACTTCCTGCCTGCTGCCTCCCAGGACCTATCCTGTTGGCAGGGGAGCCCTATTACACCCCAGCTATACCAGGACTGTCAGCCAAGCTCTCTTACCAAGGGAGCAGGGACTCCCACGACTCCTCCACAGCTTCCCTTTCTGCTCCCCTGTGGGTTCATCCACACTATCTGAACCCCATTTGGGCTCTGACCTGTGACCGAGCCCAGCTAACTTAGCCCACTTGTGCTGAGCAGGGAGTCAGCTGGACTCCACATCACCTCCTACCAGGTGCAACTCTACGCCCCCGGCTTGATTCCTGGCCTCCCCGACAGGCTGGGTGGAGTGTTTCTTATATTCTACTCCAGCCAAACATTCTACTCCAGCCAGGTGAGGTCATAACGAAAATGAGAGTGAATTAGGGAAAGTCAGGAGCCATCGAGGCCATTGTGCAGGCTTCTAACTGAGCTTCTTATAGACACCCCTGCCAACTCAGTCTACCTGTGACAGCCAGAACCTAAGACCTCTAGGTATGGTTGTGCAAGATGTGCAAACTTAGGGCCAGCCTTATTTCTGTAGACTACATTCTAATCTGTGCACCTTAGAGTGATGTACAGCTCATAACCCTTGCATGACCAGAGGGCTATTTGACCTAAGTTGTGTCTTGTGAAGAACAATCTGAGCTACATTACCTTTTCAGCCTCATTTCAGGCACTCTGGGCCCCATCCGCGCACACCACAGTGCCACTGGATTCCTTTCTCTACCTCCCCGAGGCCTGGGCTTGGCCTCTGCATGCGCTATTGTGACATCTTGAGTGCTCTTCCCAAACCTCTGCCTTCTGATCTTCCTGGAGACCTGGCATCAAAGCCCGGCTCCTTGGGAAAGCCTCCTGTGCCCAGCCTAGGTGAGGGCACCCTGCTTTAGGACCTCCAAGTTCCTGTGCTCTAGCTTCATAGCATTCATTCCACCTGTGAATATTTCTCAGGGCCTGCCTGCCTCTGCCTGACCCTAAGCCCCTCAGGGCTGGACGGCCTGCAGAGACCCTGCAGGAACATGAACACAAACCAGTGTTCCAAGAGCCAAGGAAGAGGATCCCAGAAAGGGGGTGTGGCCAACAGACCCTGTAGTCTCAAGAGGGTGATGAGGTAAACGACTGAAAATGGTTCTAGAAGGAGGTGAAGTGTTACCAGCATGAGGGGAATGGTTAGAAGTAGAAGCAGTGGGTACGGGCTACAGCGGAGTCTGGACCTGAGGCAGGATGGGTGTGAATGGAAGCAGAAAAATGTATTTTTCATTATTTTTCAAAGTAAAATTTATTTGACATACGTGTGTGTATATGTATATATGTGTGTATATATGTATATAATATATATACACACATATACAATCTTCCTTCCGCTGGCTTACTCTTCAAATGCCTGTAACAACCAGGGCTGGGCCAGGAATGCCCCCCAGGTCTCCCACATAAGTGGCAGGGATGTAAGGAGGAAACTGCATCAGACGGAGAGGCAGGACCTGTTCCCAGGCACTCTGACATGGAATGTGGGGACCTCAGGGAGCGGCTTAACTCTGAGCCACAATGCTGGCCTCATGTTTTCCCCCTTTTAGACAGGTGGACTGAGGTTGGTAGAGCAATGTCATGTCTGATAAGGGGTCAGTTGGAGATACTTTCACTTTCAACAGCCACCTTGATTTGCAGCCCATCACCACTGCAGTGGTGTGAGCCTGGTGAGGATTGAACTTCTATGAATCTGTTTTCCATCTTTATCCAATAGCAAAGCTGTTAGAATGGCTGGGCAATGTGTGCACTGCCCAACTCCAGGGAGCTCCACTCATGCAGACTGAGCCCTGCTCCTTGGGGAATCTCAGTTGTGTCCTCAACGGCCTCATCATCACCAGGTGGGCATGGGGAAGAAGGGAGACTGCAGGCGGAGGCATTGCTTACTGTCTGTTCCTACTGAGAAAGCCAAGGCTGGCCCCTACGTAGTCCCAGACAGACTGGTGAGCCAGAGCAGGGACTGTCCTCCCACCACCTGCTGACTTGATGCTGTAGAATCAAAGCCTAGTGAGTCCTGGCGCGAGGAGCTAGTGTTGTTCTGAGCCTGAGAGCGCTGACTGCCGGTCCCTTGGAAACAGGCCATGTTGGAGACCACAGGGAGGAGGCTGGCTGGCAGAAGGGGCCATGACAGAGACCTCGGGCTGAGGGGCCTCCCCAGAGAAGCTTGGGATGGAGGGGCTTCCTTGTTCTTCCCCTCCCCACCTTGGCATCAGCAGTGCTTTCCACTCCTGTCCTGAGTTTCTGGTTCTCTGAGATGCAGAAGTCACAGAGTGAAAGGGAGCAGACACCCCGGGATGCGGCCCTGATCATCTTCTGAGTGCCCTCAGCCTGAGGACCAAGGAAGGACACCTGGGGGCTCAGTGCCCCCAGGTGGCCAGGGCTAAAATAAGTGAGGGATGTCCATCAGACTTTTTTCTTCCTAGACTATCACCCAGATCTTTAAAGAATGAATTCTAATTTTGCCTCTTTTTGGATTTTTTTTTTTAATAAAGGAGGTCATAGTACATGTATTCTTCTGCGATCTGTTCTCAAGTTGTATTTTAAGCATTGATATGTTGCATGAACTGTTCATTCTTAGGCAAGTTTAATCATATAGAACTAATCAATTGCAATCCTATAGTTTTCCAGAAATAAATACTTCTCTATTGGTTATCTACCTCTTACAGGTTTGTAGCACCCTAGAAGGCTTGTCCTTTATTACCCTATGTGGCTTTGTACTTGCTTTTTTTGATAGAGTAACTGAACTCTTCATGCTCCAATAGCTGGGAGTCCTTCCTTTGACCTGGGTTCAGTATTTTTTAGTGTTATGCAATAACAACCCAGGAATGAATACACTCCACTTACGTCAACTAGAGATATACACTCCAGTTAGGTCTGCATGAGTATTATGTTCTTTGAAATTGTGATTGACACACGAACTAAACATTTCTGAGGTACTATGTGCTGCTTCACTTCATATCTGCACTGTATAATGATTGAATCTGGGTAGCCAGCATAGCCACTACCTCCAACAGTTACCATTTCTTTATGCTGAGAACAGTCAATATTTCTCTTCTAGCAATTTCACAATATGCAATTCATTATTCTTCATTGTATTTTTACTCTGTTGTGCAGCCAACATTGACTGACCAGCCTCACCCATCTCCTTCCATCGTGTGGTAACTGCTCTTCTGCTCTCATTTGCTGTGGGGTCAACATTTTTAGACTCTGCATATATGCCAGATGATGCAGTATTTGTTTTTCTGTGCCTGGCTTATGTCACTTAACATGTCCTCCCAGCCATTGCTGTGGTTGCAAATGGTTTTACTTTATGGCTGAATAGTATGCCACCTGGGTGGAGTCCGTGTCTTGGGTGTCGGGAGTGCAGCTGCTTCTTTGGCATCCTGATGTCAGGAATTTGCATAGATATCCAGTAGAGGAGTTGTTGGGTTGTGTAAGTTTTGTTTTTTTAATTTGTTTTCAAATGAAAAGCAGAGAGAGAAGAGAGATAGAAGATAAAGACAGAGCTTCCTTATGGCTGGCTGTGGCAGGCATTCAAGGAGTAAACCAGAGTGGGGCCCAGGCAAAGCCAGGATCCTGAAATTCTACCTGGGTCTCCTGTGAGCGTGCCAGGGACCTAATCACACAAGCCATCGTCACCCACTGCCTGTCAGGGTATGTCCCAGGTAGAAGCAGAGCAGGGACATGAACCCAGGCACTCCAATATTGGATGTGAGCATCTTAAATGCTAAGCCAAATCCTCACCCTAGTGGTTCTACTTTTAATGTTTTAGCGAACCCCATCACTGTGTTCTATAATGGCTATACTAAGTTACAGTTCCATAAACCATGTATCTTGAACAGGACTCCTGGGATGCGAACATGCAGAGGTGTGAGTGGAAGTGCTAGGCCAGTAGTACATCACTTCATGTTAATGCTGGCCTGTTATGGTCTAACACAGCTCGCATTTATTACGTCATAATTCTAGAGTTCAAAAATCCATCATCGCTCTCATGCGATAGAACCAAGGTTTTGACATGGCTGCTTCCTCTGTGGAAGCAACAGAGCTGGTGGAGGTAAGGGGAGGATCCATATCTTGCTCTGCCAGTTACTAGGAGCTTCCGTGGTTCTTTGGCCTACAGCTCTGTCACCCTGTAAGTTAGTTCACCCTCAGTGGCTGGTATGCTCTTGCCTCCCTTACCTGCTCGATATGGGCTACTTGGATAACTAGGATAATCTCACCTCGGGAGCATCCACTTACAGCTGCTAGCTCCGTGTGCCACATTAGGGAAGTAGGATGTGACCACGTTGGTCATGAACCTGATGCTCCCCCTCAGTCATATTAGTCAGAGAACCAAAGGTTATGAATCCTGCAGAGCAAAAGTTATCTGAGATACAAACTCAGACTTTGAAGGTGCAGCAGAGCTTGGGGTATCACACAGCAGAGAGTGCATTTCCATGACCTCGCAAACAACTTGCTGTGAAAAATGCCTCCAGTGTGGCCAACCTGATTTTGAAATGCCCTCAAGGAATGACCCACGCAGCAGCTTTGGCAATATCTGTGACGTGTAGCACATGATTGCCCTTTCTTGCTGCCAGTGCATAAGGCAGAGGGGTGGGGGGGGATGCCGGGATGCATTTCTCACAAAGCGCAATTTCGTAAAACACCATTTCAGTGCTCCTTTCTTTATGCACTGGAAATTTCAGCACGGGCACGATGCCCAGTGTAACGACAAAAGAAACAGATGTGGTTTTTCCATTTCCGTTGGTCAGGAAGTTGCACATTAAGCAGTTCAATAACTGCACAAGGCACGGCATCTATATGCCAAAACATCTATATAGATGGACTGAAAATTACCCGACTGGAGGGAAATAAAGGCATGAAAACAGCATCAGCAGAGGTACTCTGATCTGGAACCAGGAAGTGTCCTAGTACACAGTTCGAGACAATGGAAGGGGCAGGTGCTTAGCACAGGGGTTCAGAGGCCCCGGCCCATGTTGGAGTACCTGGTTCAAGTGCAGACTCTTCTGCTTCCAACACAGCTTCCTACCGATGTGCACCCTGGGTAGCAGCAGAAGCAGCTCAAATACTGGGGACCGCATCACCCACACAGGAGACCTAGAGGGAATTCCAGGTACCTGACTTGGGTCTGACCCAAGTCTGGCTATTGTAAACATTATGCAGGTAGAAGATCTGTCTGGTAATTCTTATTTGAAAAGCAGGGAAACAAACAGAAAGGAAGATAGAAGCAGAACAGATGCAGAAACATGTGCTCAACATCTGGCCACAGGGCCCAGGCTTTCCTAATGGAGTGGCCTTGCTAGGAACAGTACCAACCCAGCTGAAGGTTCTCCCCTGGAGGTGATTAGGAGCTCAGAGCACGATTCTTGTGGCTGAACATATGTCCCTGATCTTTGCTGCTGTGGCTGATGGATGCTGAGCTGTGAGGCAGGCTCTCCAAGATGGCTCACACTGCCATCCTGTCTGGGTGGCACACTTCTCTATCCTGATCTCCACACACTGAAACCCTTCCTGATCCTTATGGGTTAGTCTCCTGATCCTTATGGGTTAGTCTGGCCAATGCCAGCTTCATCTGGTCATTCCTCAGCCCAGACAGAAATGGGGGTGACCCCCTCCCTTATGGTGGTTGCCACGACCATCACTGTTTTGGTGACTGGTGCACCTTTTCTCACAACTCAGGTGGGCTGCAGGTGCCTCAAGGTCAGGAGCAGTCTTAGCCCTCGTGGTCTCAGACCCATCAGACTAAGAGCACACACCCCGCTCTCCATGTGGGGAGGGGCTTGGAGACTCTCTACCCCGATTTGGACACTTGACTTCAAACAACTAAAAAAGTACAAGCAAGGGGCCTGTGCACAGCCTTCTTAATGTTCCTACTTGACATAAACAGACAATTATCTACAACACATGCTGACTCACACTGCTGGTAAAACAGAACAGTTTAGCTGGTATGTGACAGAAAACAAGTGTCCATATTAAGGCAACTTCCGGGAGCCCCGTGCCTCCTAGTCTCACACACAGCCTGTGTGTCCTGAGCAGGAGCCAGCAGGGCTGCCGGAGCACCCTGTTCCTTTCTGCTGCTCCTCAACCTCAAATCGAGTCCTGAACATGCCCAGACTTCTCCCTTGTCATGATTCCCTAAACGTTACAGGCTAGCACCGATCTACATAGCAGTTATACTGCATTAGGTGCTATGAGTAATCAGGGTATACTGGAGGATGTGTGTGTGGGGGTTACAGGCAAACACAGGCCATTTTCGTTGAGGGCCTTTGGTAGGCAAGAGGGCAATAGGGAAGGGTTCTTAGAACCAATTCCTAATAAGTGCTCAGGGCTGACTCTGCATCCTGGACCTCTCTGCTCCACTGCAAACCTCAACTGATGGGGACACATGGTCAGAAGGTCCTGGGCATGATGAGCTTTTGAGCCAGCCTCTCTGCCACCCCCCAGGCTGCTGCTTCCCCCCAGGAAGCTCACAAAGGGTCCCCATGGCTGAGCACCTGTGCCAGTCCCATCTTCCCAGGCTGAGAGCAAAAAGAACTTCATCTACTATAGAATCAGAGCCCTTGCTTGTGCCCTGAAGGCTTTGGTGTGGTAGGAAGGCCTCAGCCTATTGGTGCAAACCCAGGGCTGACCACAGTACCTTCTGGCCGTGGTTTGGGCTTTTCTAGCCCTCCATCCTGCATGAGCTCAAAGGCAAAGGAGACGTTCAAGACCTGGCAAGAGAGATGTAGTGTTTGTTATTGGATGTCCATTCCTAAGATCCTGGCCCAGCACCTGTCCTGGGGAGTGAAGGAGTCCTGCACTGCAGCCAGGGCTAACTTGGAGGAGAAATGTGGCTACCCAGACAGGCAGTCTGCAGCAAGTGGGGCTTGGCCATCCCACCTTCACTGGAGAAGCGCTCCTGAAAACATTCAAAATCCTCTTCCTGTTCTAGCAGGTTCTGATACCAAATGCTGGCCCTCCCAACCCAGGCAGACAGATGCACATGTCTGGAAGGGGCTGATGGCAAGACCTGTGCTAGAGGCAGAGACAGGGTCTACCTTGGGCTGAATCTGAGAGGCCTTCAGAACCAGGCTAGGCTGGGCTTGGCCTGGCACTGCTTCCAGGCTCACTGTGGGGAGAGAGGAGGCAGGCTATGCACATGGAGCAGGACTGTGGCCCACGGGGATCTGCTGGTAACTCATTCCCAGCTCAGTGCTCCCACCAGCCCCACCTCTCCACGTAGGTGTGGGCAGATCCATCAGGGCTTCCTGTGCTGTACCCTCACCTTACCTTCTGTTCGAAGCTATCCGGGGTCAGGAAGAAGCTATGTAGGGGCACAAAGTAGCCCTCCAGGAGCCCCATGAGCAGCACCAGGTACACCCCATCAGCAAACTGGAGAGAGAGCATCAGGTGAGGCACTGCCACATCCAAGCAGGTCACCACCTACCATGCCCACCCACCCCAGGGCTGCTGGTGCAGGCAGGGACACGGAGGTCTGCCCACAGCTGCCTGTCCAACCTGGGAGCCCTAAACGAGCAGCCCAAAGCTCAGCTCAGGCTTTACTGAGACTTCTGTCTGGGCAGGACTGGATGTGAGTCCTGTGTGGCTTCTGCCACCAGGGAGCTCACAGGGCAGTGAGGAAGCTGATGTGGAGGTTACAGCTGCACCTGCTCAGAGGGAGACCCGGATGGTCGCTGCTCCCAACAGTGTCACAGAAAAGAGAAAAAGGTGCCACCAGAGAAGAGTGGGTTCTAATGGGGAGGAAACTTGAGTGTTACCCAGGCCTGGGTATGGTCTTTCTCAAGGCAGCACAGCATGCCTGAAGCAGGGAATCCTGGGCTCAAATTCCTGCTCTACGACTGCCCTGCTGGGGTGCCTGAGCAAGTGGCACAACTTCTGTGCACCTCACTGTTCTTGATAGAAACATAGAGATAACAGTCTAGTACTGACCCTATAGTGGAATCAGGCTAATCCAGGTGAAGCACCTAGCAACTGCATGGTATAAACAGACAAAAGTGTACTTTTAATGTCTGAGAAAACAGCAGAGCAAACAGGACTTACTGGTTCTTGTGGACAAGGCCGACCTATGTGCTGAGGGGACTTGAACAGGCTTAGGACACAGTCCATCGCTGGTTAGGCTGGGAGCCCCATCCAAGGAGAAGGGACCCCTCCACCCAGGCTGTCTGATTCCAGAGGTTACCCCCACCTTCTGCAAAAGCCCTGCCCCCTCTGCACTGAACCTGGGGTCAGTTGTATATCTGATACTCTAGAACCCTCTCAGTGGAGGCTGGGGTCTGTTTATGGGTATAAACAGTAATTGCAGGAGTTTGCCAAAATCTGTTTCTGGCAATCATCTCACGAGGCTTAAAGGAACTCAACTGAATTGCTAGAGCATGGCTGAACCTGGGGCCTGCTCTCCTCAGTGAGCTCTGCTGGGTACAGCCCATGAGCAAGTGGTTTCTCAACTGGCCACAAGGGCCAGGGTTGGGCCAGCCAGGAGCTTAGATGGAGCTTCTTCCAGGTCTCCCACGTACATGCAGGAGACCAAGGACTTACACCATCTTCCATTGTTTTCCCAGATATATTAGCAGGGAGCTGGATCAGAAGTGGAACCAACTGTAACTTGAACCTGCAGGTAAGCAACTTAACCCATAGCATCAACCATGGCTTAGCTTTAGTTATAAGCATGAGAATCCAAGCCTGAGCTTGGCCTGCTTCTGGTCTTCAATTCAGAAGGGAGTGGAAACCTGGGGCCAGATGGTAGGTGTGGCTGGAAAGGGTTGAGATGAGATAGAGCTCATCTGTGACCTTGGGGACGAGGGTGGCTCTGTGGGACTGAGTTCTGCTCCCTCCAGGTGGTGATGGTGTTGCTGGCAGGGTGGGAGCAGCAGTTATAACTTGCATATCTCCGATGGGACATGCACTCCCTGCCTGGGAAGATGGAGGAAGGACTCAGTCCACAGCATCCAGAAACACAGAGGGAGAAGCCAGTGTCAGACCAGGCAATTACCTCTATGCTTGAAAGAACTCAACTCATAAGGACTGAAAGGACATTGGGAAACAGGACCCATTCTGTGTCCTCAAGGAGCTCCCTCATACAGATTGGTTACTAAGTATGAAGGAAGGAAAACGACACAAGGTTGGTCAGCAAGTGTGCTGCTGCTCACCAGCGCCCCCTAACGGGAGGCTCCAAGCACAGCACAGCTAGACTTGGCAAGTATGGCTAAGCTTGGCCTGAATCTCAAAGCAGGGTAAGGAAGGTCAATCTACCTGCCTGCACACTCCACAAACATCAGTGGTATGCGATGAAATCCTGAGAAAGAGACAATACAACACAGTGCAGCATGCAAAAACTTCATGGAAAATGGGATTAAAACGTTATTGCAAAAAGTTTCTGAAATCCATGTATTTTTCCCCATCAATTTTCTGAAGATCCCAATGAACAATTTTTCCCAACCATCTGATGTTATCATTTTAGTTCCTCCAAAGCAGTCAGCAATTTCTTAGGATTCCCTTTAAATAGATTATTGTATCAATGTTAACATTGCCTGGGAATGGGATGGGCATAAAGCCACTGGCTGTGACAATGGCATCCCATAATGTATTAATTCAATTCTGATTCAGCTCCCTACCAACAGCCTGGCAAAAGAAGTAGAAGATGGACTGAATATCTGGGCCCCTTCCATGCATGTGAAAGACCCAGATGAAACCACTGGTTTCAGCCTGGTCTAGCACTGGTGGTTTCTGCCAGTTGGGGAGTGAACCAGCCATAGAACATCCATTCCTCTGTCCCTTTAATTCCCTTAAAAATATATATATATATTTTTTATTAAGAGTTATTTTTATTGGAAAGGTAGATTTATAGAGAGGAGAAACAGATCTGTCCACTGGTTCACTCCCCACATGTCCCAAGGCTTTGGGCCTTCCCCAACTGCTTTCCCAGGCCACGGGCAGGGAGATGGATGAGAAGTGGGGCCACCGGGACATGAACCTACACCCATACGGGATCCTGGCGTATGCAAGGTGAGGACTTTAGCTGCTAGGTTACTGTACTGGGTCCCAATATTTCTTACAGATTAGTTGTAACAGGACCCATCACCTGTGTGGGAGACCCAGAAGAAGCTCCTGCATTAAGGTTGGCTCAGCTCTGGCTGTTGTGGCTGCTTGGGGAGTGAATCAACATATAGAAGATATTCCTCTGTCTCCCCTCCTCTCTGTATATATGACTTTCCAATAAAAATAATTACTTGTAACTGATTCTCACATTGTGATTATCAGGATGGATTTCCTCCTAACAGATGGGTGTTGAAGTATTTGCAGAACAGAGAAAAGATGGGGTGATTTGATGTACTTCAGTGGAGGTATATAGGTGTTTATTCTTGCAACTTCAAAATAAAAATCTGGAAGAAAACTACACAGAAGCGCCCTGCACCTGCCCTCTTTGTCCAGAGATGAGGGGTGGGGGTCGGGCTGTCACTCACCTGGCTTTCCAGTTCTGTGACCTCCAGGTTCAGTTTATTCAGGTGCTTGTTCACAAAGGTGATGAGTGTCTACAAGGGAAGCACACAGGCGCAGTAAGGGAGGCTCCTGGAGACAGAGCCTGGGGGCTGCAGGGTGACAGGTGGACTGTGTGAGCCCCAGGAAAGGCGAGGGTCCAGGTGCCCATCCAGTGGGAGGAGGAGGGGCGACAGCCCACAGGTGTTACAGGGGGCAGCAGAGGCTGCCATGCTGTAAGGCTGGGCCTGGGATGCCAGGCAGTGCTGGTTCTCTCCACCCCCAGACCCCAGGCCCCATTCTCACCTTCTTCACCACATTGAGCTTGTCCGGGGCGTGGTCAAACAAGGTATCAAATGCATCACGTTCTGGAGAGTCAAGGAGGACAGACCGTGGAGCACACAGAACATGTTCCCAGCTGGCACCCTTTCCCTCCTCCCCACACTCACCCCACACTGGGGCCCACTGGCATGAGCCTGCAACTAAAGCTACAAGGTTGGCAACTAGTGGGGATGTGTTTGGCAATATGGGCTGTGCTGGGAACTCCGAATCTGGGACTGGGCTAAGTCTTACCCTTGGGGACCTGCTCTATGAGTGTGCATGCATTTACATATGTGCACAGGTCAACCCTTTATCAGGCTGGGGTGAGAGTCACAGTAAGGTAGGTGGTTGGCTGTAGGAACAGTCCCTTCCCTCCACTATTTATGCTCCATGCTATCCTGGGTCAGCTCCACTCTAAGGTGATCCTGGAGCTTTATGGAAGAATTCATCCAAATGGCATTCACTCCATTTCCCAACGCAGACCACCTGGCACAGGCGCATATTAAGAGGGCTGGGACCCAGGAGTTCCAGGATGGAATACGGATCCCTTCCCCCAACAATAATCTAGCCTATCTCAACTCTTTGTGCCTGTGTTTCCTCCTCTGCCAAGTGTTCCCTGCAAAGGGGGCCTCTCCCAGCATGCCGGCATCTGCACGAGCAGCCCAGTTCACAAGGCTGGCATCACGCGACTTGGAGGCAGCTGCTGACTGCAGCCTGCGGGCTCTCAGAACCCAGAGCTGGCAGTGTGCTGTAGAGCAAGGGGAGGTGCCCCCAGGCGAGCTGGTGGCTTCGTGACAAAGCTGCCCCCTAAGCACCAGCAGGCAAAGGGGGTGTCCCCAGGCTGCCGCTGCGGACCCCATGATTGAAAGTCATGCAAAGGGATGACTGGATATAGAGATTGAGGTCTTATACATGATCAAATACCACTCAGCTGTAAGAATGAATGAATGAATGCTGTTTCCCAACAAAATAGCTGCAAATGAAGAGAATTTTTACATGTACTGCCATAATCCAGTCCCCCAAAAGACAAATGTTTTCCCTGATTTGTAGCACCTCATATATAGAATACTGAAGACATGGAGTGTCTATGAGTATAACCGAGAGCTGGAGATGTGACGTAGCCCTGCCTATCCTGTTGAGCAACAATGGTGTTTCCACTTACTACTTGCTGAAATCTTTGTTAGTGGGCGGGGGGTGGGGCTGAGCTTTGGATAAGGCCAACTGAAAGTATGTTCAGTGTAAAAATTCAAAGAAAAGAAAGGAGAGGAGGGAGGGTGGCAGTGAGGGAGCAAACATAGAGAGGGAAGTCGCATCATGTGGCTCAAAACTGTGTGTGAAATACATGAACTCTTTCTTTTATGTAAATAAAAACTATTTTAAAGTATGCATCTTCAATACATGCTATGTATTACATTTTTAAAACAAAATAACTCACCATGCCTTCCGGACAGAGCCCTGGAGGAAGAGGAGAGAGGGTAGTGAGCGTGATGCTGCTGGAGGCCCAGTCCCGACCTGTCCTCAGGTGAGCCGCTCCAAACCTCTCCCCCACCGCTCTGGTCACTCCCTGGGCACTGGGTGGACCCCCAAATGGGGTTTGTGATGGCTCAAGGACCGTTTCTTAGTGTAAATAATCACGTTATTACATGCCAATAAGAACAAACATGGGGCTTCCCCCAGCACAGATTTTGAAGATTCTTAGGAACCTCGCTCAAGTCACCCCCACCACCCCCTCACCCACCAACCCAACCCTCCTTAGAGTGCCTTTTCACTGCCTGGGTTACTGGGTGCCGTAACCGGGGACATCAGTGTTGTCTCTGCCCATCCCACGATGCCCACCATGGGGCACCTGCCTTTGGCCCAGCACTGGCTTTTACCAACAGGGCACGGATGCATCCCTTTGTGACAGAGAAGCAGCACAGCATTAAGAACTGGAAGCAGATGACTTAGGTGTCAATCCTGAACCTTTTTTTTTTCCCTCCTGTGTTAGCTTGGGCAAGTCACTGACCCTCTCTGGGCTCTGGGTCTCTTCTGTCTAAAATGAGGATAATAATGGTAAATGCCTCAATGTGATGTGGTTTTACCATCTAGAAAGATGTTCCTATTAGCCCTAGTAGTACTTTGTTTTCTCAATAAATTTTCAGTTCTCATTATGATTGTCATTTTGGTTTATCCACTTACACATGGGTTGCCCACTAAATGGCCTTTCGCAGGGTGTAAAGAGAAGACCACACTGAGCTTGGAGTTGATCGCTACATGCACCACAGTGACTGTCACAGACAGCTGCCTTCACCAGCCTTGGGCTGTGGGCCTTAGCAAGTGCAGAGCAAGAACTCAGAGTAGGTGAACCAGCCCAGACCAGGAGGGGCTAGAAGGAACACAGCTCCTTCCTACTTTGCTCCTGTCCCTCACAGCACCGAGGCAGGGATCTCATGTGACCCTATCACTACCAAGACTATGAGGTAGAGGTCTGTCTGAGGGGATCTGCACAGGCCACCCACGGGGCATATTGGGAAGAGGCCATTCCACGTCTCCCTGCTTTGTTTGGCTTAAAGTGTCCAAACCAGGAGGCCCTGGTATATGCAATGTGGAGCATACAAGGCAGTGCCCAGGTGCCTTCTGGCAGATGGTGACAGGTGCAAAGGCAGACAGCACAGCCGTTAGCAGCAGGTGGCAGGCCAGGCACTGCACTGAATCCTCACCTGCTCTCTAGCTTTGCAAGATGCACCACACTTCACGCTGAGGTCGGAAAGGGTGGGGTCACAGTGGATAAGCAAATGACAGAGCCTGGATTTGAACTCAAGGTGGCCTGGCTTAACAGTCCCACTGTTGTTTCAGTTCAAGGGGACAGACTAGGGGATTCAGGGGTGCTGGAAACCAACTCTGGCTGGCTTTGCATGGGGTTGGGGCTCAGGGCCCAAGGCCTCCCCGCTAACACTCCAGCTCCCCTGGCCCCCAAATGCCAGGGGAGTAAAACTCCTGACTGCCTACCTTTGGTAAGCTCTGGTATCCCAATATTCTACATACAGGGGGAACCCTGCCCCCAAACAGCTCTGAGCCCGAGAGGGAGGCTTGGGGACCATAGCACATGACCAAATCCATCAGATTCAGAAAAAAGGCAGCAAAGCGTCCTTTTGGAGGTTAATGATTAACATTCAAGTCCATGTTTATGGCGTGGCAATTTTACGCTGGTTGGCTTTTTTTAGGCATACTTTTTTCCTGGAGTGCCACAAAATTAGAATTTTTTCAATCACAGCTAATTCCCGGGCCCCACTTCCCCACCCAAGCTTGTACCTCAGCATGGAGAGACATGTTTTGAATGCATGGAAAAGGCTAAGTCTAATCCTCCTGCAATCCCAATAAATGAAAACTAAATATCAGCAAATGGATGAGTTTCGGAGAAACATCTGTGTTCCATTACAGAATCGCTGGCAACAATGGTGTTGACATACTCTGTGTTACCAGTTATCTCCTCTTGGATTTGCCGAGACTGGAGGATTCCTTCTCGTTTCTGAAATGGGGGTGGGTTGGGGTGTGGAGAGGAAAAGAGAAAAATATGCTTTAGAACAGTAACAAACAAACTCAGGAGCATTCCTGATCTCGGCAAAGTCACTGGGTTCTGGGGCCCAGATAATGCCAAAAGTGCAAACACGCCCTGTTTCTGCTGGAGCTGGACTGCACCAAGAGGACGCGGGTGCAATTAGTGCTTCGTCCAAACAAGTAGGCTGCATCCTGGATGGCGTGTCTTTCCTTTCTTTATTGGAAGACGCTCTGTTGGAAGCAAACTGTGGGCCTCTTGCAATAAGCCACAGTAAACCGAATGGAAATGAAGGCCAGGGTGTGTCTGCCCTCCAGCTGGGTCCACAGAGGGAAGTGGAGAAGAAGCACATGGGGCTGGGAGGCCAGGGCAGCGGGAGGCAGGGACCAAGGCCAACTGGGAGGATCTAGACAAAGGCAAAGAATTAAAAAAAAAAAATCTAATAAACATGGGAGCTCTAAAATATCAGTACTTTTAAAAGTTTGCAGAAAGTGGGATTAAAAGATATGCCTGTTTTGGTGAAAGATCAATTTTGAGATTCAAGCATATGAAAGGTCTTAGAAGTTCACTAAAAATAATTTGCAAAAACTATGGCTTTCAATTGTTTACAGCAAAATAATCCTCTCATTTCTCATGACTTTTTTTTAAAGATACTTACGTATTTGAAAGGCAGATAAAGAGGAAGAGGGTGGAGGTAGGGAGAGAGGGAAAGAGAAATCTATCTGCTGCTTCATTCTCCAAAGGGCCTCAATGTCCAGGCTTGGGTCAGGGTGAAGCCAGGAGCTTCACCTAGGTCTCCCATGCTCTGAGAGCATAGAGTGAATGCTTACTCAGGTAACTGCTTATTCTCCAATATAAAGTCATCCACCCACCTGCCTCACTGCAGCCCATCCTTTTGTGTGCCATTCACCATTGCCTTTTGTGCACAAGGCCTGATAGCGCCAGATCTGGCCGGGAGGAACTCAACGTGGAGAAGAGGAAAGCAGGGCAAAGGGGAGGGTTTTCCTCCACGGCTCATGGGTTATGACTGATGTTCCAGCTCAATTCCTAATTGGACCCACTCTCTAAAGTGTTGTGGGGAGTAAACGACCAGGTGGCCCTGAAAAGAGAGAGTGCTGCATGCAGGCAAGACGAACAGCGATGGTCAGGGAAGCCTGTCCAGGGGCAGGCCCTTCACGGACAGCTGGGATTTGGCTGGACACAGAGGAAGAGGAGTCATTGCATTCCAGTGGTTGTCAGGGCCCCAGCCTGAAGGCAGAGAGTTGGGCCAGGACACTTGTGCTCAGGAAGCTGTCAGGAGAGGGTGCGGCTGCCATGGTCAGAGGCCGCCCTAAGTGCAGGTCTGGAGCATTCTACCACTGAGCAGGTGTGCATGGCAGCCAAAGAAATGCCATCAGAGCTCGGGAAGACTTGATGGGCACAAGGAGAGAGGCTCATGTAATAAGGTCCCTGTGCAGCTAGCAGCTGACCTGGGGGACAGCCTCAGCATGATGCAGGGATCACAATGTGAATTCATCTTTCCAGAGTACTCAGCAGAGCCTCCTGCCCAAACTCATGATTCCTAAGAGCCACAGCACTAGCATCCTTGCAAAAGCCTTCACCGGTGGGATGGGCAGAGGCAGGTAAGAGACAGACTCGGCGGGTCTGATGGAGAAAAACGAACTATCAGAGGGCCAAGAGGAAAACACTCTATTCCAAGGGACCCAGGTGAAGATGAACCAAAACTTCCCTCAAATCCAGTTTGGGCCCCTGTAAAATCTCTTCCATGGGGCTCCTGGTGAGACTCTTCATGGCCAGGAAACTTCAGCTTCAAGACAGAACTAAATGTCTTCATGTAGAGTGGCAAAGATGCAGGGTTAAGTGGCCCCTCACATGGCACCCAAGCACCTTCAGTATTTTTTCCCTAGGGAAGGGGGCATCTAGAGCGGCTCAGTGATTCAATCCCAATTCTGCTGCTTACTCCTGGGCCTCTTCAACTCAGTGCAGCAAGACACCCACTAAGACCTGGCACGCATTGACACCATCATATGTAACATGTCCTCTCTCCTTCCTCATGCTAACAATGCTGCCATAGGAAAAATGAAGCCAGCAGCCTCTGAAGGCCTAGAGTTTAACTCAAAGCCAGGCCCGAGAGGCGGCCTTATGATGGCCTCTGTTTCAAAAGAGGAGTCCCCTCTCTCCCACACAGCTCTTCCACTCTAGCTTGCTTTTTCTCCCGAGTCATCCCAACAGGCATATTCTATTATTTCTATTAGCAAGCTATTTATTCAAGCCGATAGGAAAAATACAAAGATGTTCAATAAATTAATGGGCAAAGAATCAGAATGGACTGTCACAAAAGATACGAAAGGGCAATTTGCATGGAAGTATTTATCTTTGCTGGCAATGGAAGAAGTAATAAATGAATATAATGACAGTGTGTTTACTCAAGAAATTTTCCACAATTTGCAATGCCAGTGAGAGGTAGTCACTGAAGTACTTGTTTGCAAACTGCTCCAGAAATCGGAATTAAAAAAAATATATACAGATTTTCATGCATTCAGAGATGTTTTAGCTTCATGGCAAAGCCGAGAGAATGGTGCAGCAATCTCCCACGTACATCCTGAATGTGTCTGCTCACACATTTGCAGCATCCTCCATTATCAACACCCAGTGCCACCGTGGTACACTTGCTACGACCAGTGAACATACACTGACCCCTGAGGGTCACCTGCTATCCCCTCTGACCTTTCACTTGGGTCCACCATTGGTGCTGCTCCTTCTGTGAGTTTTGACACATGTGTGTACCACCCCCAACCCCGTAGGACAAAGATCATGAAGAATTTCACTGTCTCTAGGTTCCTTAGTGCTCCACTCATCACCCCTCCCTCCTCAGGGACTGTTTCCAAAAACACAGTGTGGTGGATGCATGGGTTACTGAACCAGGGATGAGAGCACAAGGGTGCTGACCTGGGGTGACTTGCAAGATGCTTCTCCCAAGAGGCTCTGGGCTGGCCATATACACCCAGCATCCATGAAATGCTGAGCCCTGAGCTTGACCCACTGAAGAGCTCTGGAAGTGTGGATGGTTGGCACCTGTCTGTCAACAGCCCTCAGTGTCTAAGTCACATCCAATGCCTTGACTATGGTCTACTGACAGCCCTGTTGGCTTCTTATGTGGTAGTCCCTTCTCCCGGCAGGCAGAGCCAAGGGGCCGTGTTCCTGTTCTACCCTCTGGATGCCAGCAGAGTTAAATTCCCAGAAGGTGTGAGAGAAGCCCTTCTTCACTGGGGCACCGCCTATCATTGGCTTAGGAGCTCAACCATGGTCCCTTCTGCTAATGATGGATCCACTGGCACTCAGCTCCTTTTAGCCCAGAAACTGGCCTGATCAGGCAAGTATTCCAGTCCCTGGGCTATAGTGTCCTTTAATCCAGAATCCCAGATAACCCTGACCATGTGGGGAGTCCTCCCTTGCTGCTTGTTTATTGGGAAAAGAACACAGACAAGCAAACAAAACGATGACCTTTTGCTAAATGGGCAGAAGTTGGAAAACAAAATTGAATTTGAGTATTTAATGGGGCGAGGAGCAGTGTGAGAGTCATGGGGAGAGAGCACACCCTCACTGTGGAAATTAAACAGCCATGTGTGGATGGAAATTCCATCCAACAATCTGGAAAAGATGACTTGACACCCCAGCTGTGCAGCTCTGGGCGGCCGGAAAGCAGCAGTGCCTTTCCCCTGGACTTGGCCAGGCAGTCTTCCTCTATCTAGCACACAAACAAAGGCACACACTCCATCACATGCACACTTACCCATCTCCCTCTAAGAGCTGTGCAAGAAAAATGAGATTCTCTATAGACTGCAAGATATCCATCCCTTCCTGTATACCAGTGTGTGCACACACTAATTTCATTACGCCTGGCACAGCCTGCCTGCCAACAAAACTCTGAACCTGGACACACAACTTACATGAAGTCATCCCAGACACAAGCACACCCTCATCCATGTTTTGCAAATCCAACAGGGATAAGCCTATGTGGATCCAAGAGTTCACCAATCCCTCACCAACAACCCACCCCAGCATGCCCAAGCACATTCAGCTCCCCCAGCCATCTCTTCTGAGAATCCAAACAAGCTATGTGCAGCAGTAACTGCCTTACCTGGACCACAACCACTTGGATGGAGACATGGTCTGGGAGTCGAATTGGTGCCCGGAAATACTGAGACAGAGCAACCAGCAGATGCAAAATGGCCACGAGGCTCTTGGCGTGAACAGCTGAAATGAAGTAGGATTTAAACCTTGGAATATCTCCTTTCAGGTCACAGGCAACACATCCAGATACAAGGAATTGCAACAGTGCACACTAGAACCTTCAAACTATGCACACCTCCAAGACACATCCCCCTTCTTGGTATGTGAGCAGGGAGAACTCACCTAGTTTGTAACAGAAAAACGGAAAATGATCCCTAAACCCTTTGTTAGTTATATTATAATCTAGCCACAAAGTGTCATGTTACAAAACAATGACACATAGGATAGCTAATGACTTTTCAAGATACACAGCTTCCAAACAACACATACAAGTTAATTTCATTTTTGTAAAATCACACTTGTCTCTGTATATACACACATATATAGAAAATATCATATATAATTATACATACTATTTCCACATACCCAACGTGAAGGAACACAGCACAGTGTTCACAGTGTCTGTGGCTAGGTGGGCCACACATTGGAGCCGGTGGGTGGACAGGGAGGCGGTGGTGGTGCTCAGCACCAAGGCTCTACAGCAGACTCTATTCCTGAGCCTATCATTTATTACCTGTGTAACCCTGGACTCCTTCAGTAAATCATACTGAGCTCCTATGTGCCAGTCACTCTTCTTGGTTCACTGCTGTAAACAGTGAAAAGACAATAATCTCTGCCTTCACTAGCTTTCACCTCTCCCTGTCTTGACTACACCATCTGTAAAATGGGGATAGCAGAATTCTTGGATGGTCTCAGGATGAAAACATATGAAGTGTTCAGAAGAGAACAAGGCATAGAACAAGCTCTGTAAGTCAGGTGGGGATCTACGTTTCTTCAAGCTTAGCTGCCTTCTCTGATTTTTTTTCAGTAATGAACATTACCGTTGAGAAAATGAAAAAAAAAAATCCTCAATTCCCAGATCAGCCTGTCCCTGCCACCCATGGAGAGCAGTGTCTTTGGATGTGTAGCCAGGGGGGATAACCAGGAGAGAAGCAGAGGAGCTTCCTGCTGGAGCTGGGCCTGTGACTCCCCAGCAACCACACCATCATCTCCTATGCACAAGCCCAGCTCTGGGTGACACCCCACGGGGTGGCAGCACCTAGGCACTGTGATAACTATTCCATTTGATTTCACTATTCAGCTCAGTCCTGGAGCTCAGTGTAACAGAAAGCTCGGCTCAACTCAAGAGAAGCAAACAAACACACAAGCTACGACACTCAACTGGCCACTCTCTGAGAGTTAGCAATTGGTTGGAAATCAACCTGAAAAAAGATCATCAGTAACTCAGGGCTTAAGTCAACAATAGGATATCTTCTCTCTAACATCAAAATTTTCAGGACAGGGGTTGGCACTGTGGTGCAGTGGGTTTAGCCACTGCTTATGATGCCACCATCCCATAGCAGAGTGCTGCTACCAACTCCAGCTGCTCTGCTTCCCAATCAATTTCCTGCTAATGCACCTGGGAGGACAGAAGATGATGACCCAAGTGCTTGGCTCCCTGTCACCCATGGAGAAGACCCAGATGGAGTTCCTGGCTCCTAGCATCAGCCTGGCCCAGCCCTGGCTGTTGCAGCTAGTTGCATTCTCCCTTTAAAATAAACACATAAACAAATATTTTAAAAAATTACAACAAAGTTCACCATGGTATATAGAAAATATGTATGATACAATATTGAAATATGCCATGACCTAGTGAAAATATGCATTGATTTGATCAGGAATAGGAACAATAATGAAAAGAGCTGGATTAGGGTAAGTCATAGGGATGACTTCTTTTCTCATAGATACTAAGTGAGAAGGAACCAAACAGGATTATTCGGATTATTGGATTATTATTATTAAGGATTATTTAGAGTCACTGAAAACGATGTTCCTGATTTGGCTTTAACAAAAAGATCCATTCTTCTGACCCAGCCTCTACTAGTGCTATGTCAAATAGTGGGCTGTGTTGTATTTTGGAGGTTCAGGGAGAAGGTCTGTACTCAAAGGAGTGAGACAAAGGCAAGATAACAGAGGACACCAAGCAGGGCTCTTCCTGGGTACACTGAATGCTCACAACTTCTGTGGCTTTGCAACACAGGCACATTTCCCAAGCTAGTGAACAGCCTCCTCCTCCCCCACTCAGCACCAATAGCATCCAGGGCACACAAAGAAGTAAAACCCCTCTCCAAGAAAGCCTTCAGGGCTCCTGGCAGTGACCTCCCCTCCAATGCCCTCCGGTGCCTCTCTCTGCTTGACACAGAATGTCTTGTTCCCAGGGCTCAGTAGCTCAGGAAGCAGCTTAGCTCTCGCAAGCAAAGGTGTAATTATGCTGAAGGAGGTACTTGGCGTCTTGGCCCCAGTGTCAGATGTTAGAAATCTGCTTAAGGGAAAGTGACAGGCAGCCACAGGGTCTCTAAGTCTAGAGGGTTAGATCTTTCCTCTTCCTCCCCCTTTTATTATATATTTTTTTCTCCTCTGGGAAATGTTTAAGACATGCAATACAGTACAGGCCCAAACCACTGCAATCACCTTATTAATCCAATTTTGTACTTTTGTCTATTACATAGAACACAACTAGATTGAACAGAAAATACAGTCTCTATTGCAGCCACCTGGTTCATGGATTTCATGCTGATCTGGATACAGACACACTGACCCCTACGAGGTAGAGGTCGCAGAAGAGTGAGGGGGTACCCTTTGAGGTCCTGCAGCTGTGGCAGCTGTGATCTCAGCCATATCTCTTCCTTCCAGAAGAGGCATGCAGAGTGGAAGAGTGTGGGCTTGGGAACAGGCAGCGTCCAGCTGTGCTGATGTGGGGGCCTCAGCTTCCCAAAGCTGCTGCTCCCTGGGCCTCATGGTGCTGGGTCTCAGAAGGCGCTTAGTGAGTGTAAGCTTCCTGTTCCTGCCTGTCAGACACCAAGTTTGTATAGAAAGCCTTTTATGGAAAAGGGACACTGGCTTTTGACATTTTGCCATTTTCCTCCAAGGATATGTATGGCAAATTTCTAAGGAAGGGTGCACCCACTCCAGGGTGGCTCCCCTGGGAAGCCTATGGCGGGGAGCAGAGCATGACCTCATGATGACCAAGTAGCAGCTTTCCCATGTGCAACTCACAGTCCACATTCCACTTGATGCTCCTGGGAGGAAGCTTCAGGGTTTCATTGATCTTCTCCAGGACAGTCTGCAGTTTTTGCTTCTGAGCAATCTCCGACTGGGTGACCTCAGCAACATTTAGCTTCTCGCTCTCAAGTTTCTCTGAGATGACAAAGGAAAGGAGAATAACTTACACACATACCGTCCTGCCTCAGTAACTGCACTGGAATCATTCCTTCAACCTTCCAAGGTACCAGAATTCACAGATCCTCAAGCTCTTCACGCTCTCTCTCACATCCCAGACTCACACTTGCATGTAATTCCTGCAGTCTCCTGTACAATTTCCAGTTTACTTACACTATTTAATATACGTGTTATGTAGGTGGTTGTATTGTTTAGGGGATAATGGAAAGAAAGTACACAGATTCACTACTGAGGTAATTAAACCACATTTTCAGTCTGCGGTCTGCTGATGTCTGCTGAATCTGAAGATGCAGAACTTGTAGACAGGGACCTGACCGGACACTGTTGTCCCCGTCTCATCTGACAGTGGCACCAGCAACACGAAAGCCTCTCCACTGTGTCCTGAATCCCCACACCGAAGGCCAAGGGGATTCAAGCAAGCCTGCTCTAGTTGAACCGTTCATCATTCTGAATTTCTCCTTCTTGTTCCAATTCTGCCTTTCCCGTGGGTATCTCTACACCAACTGGAAAGCCTTATCTGCTTTCCCAGTCGTCAGTCCTGTCCCTAGCCAGTCCATTCATTTTGTACGATATGAGTAGGCTTCAACAAGTTCTTGAGAAATGTGTGTTATCTTTTCATCCATTTTCCCATGTGCTTGTTGAAACACCTTATACATGTCAGACACAATCGCATTTACCTGCTTGAAGCAACTAATTTGAAAGCCTCCAGAAAGGTGACTTACTCAGTTTGTCACATTTCACCCACTGGAAGGCGTGCATTTTTCACGTGAACTGCCCTAAATTTGGGTTGTCTCTTAAAATTGATTCTGCTCTATACTTGCCATCAGACAGACAGAAGAAACAGAAGTTGTCAGTGTCTGCTTGAGCATGAACTTGGTCCTATTTCTTCACAGCAGGGTCACTTCTATGTCTTAGTTATCTGCATGGGCACCGTCAAAATGTATGAAATCAAAATCCTAACAAGAAAACACTGGGTGATTTTCTCCTGAGTGATGTGCTTTCAATTCAGAGGTTCTTTTCTTTTTTTTTTTTTTTTTAAGATTTTTTTTCCCTCAATTTTTATTGGAAAGTCATATTTTATCAAGAGGACAGATATCTTTTGTCCACTGGTTCACTCCCTAAACAGCTGCAATGGCCAGAGCTGAGCTGATCCGAAGCCAGGAGCTTCTTCTGGGTGTCCGGCATGGGTGCAGGGTCCTAAGGCCCTGGGCTGTCTTCCACTGCCTTCCCAGGCCACATGCAGGGAGCTGGATAGGAAGTGGAGCAGCCAGGATTAGAACCGGCACCGATATGGGATCTCAGCACATGCGAGGTGAGGATTAAGCCACTAGGTTATTATGCTGGGTCCAAATCAGTGGTTCTTATAGCCATAACACAACCCCTTGCAACTGAAAGGACCAGGCAGTCACTTTTTTTTTTTCATTTTATTCAGAAGAACAAAACATCATGCTCCATAAGGGGACATACTAAGCTCACTTACTCTGCTTTCCATGACTCAATTTAACATCATTGGTTCCCTTGGCCTACTGATTTCATGCTTTGTCTTCTTATTAGTTAAAGGCGGCTAATCTAGGTTAAAGGCACTGTGGAGACCTCTTCGAAGTGGAACCTACCCACTGGAGACTCTCTGCAGGTTCCAAGGACTTAGGAATTGGTCTCAGCACCTTGGCAGGCCAATCTTAGGCCATTCTTCACTGGGATGGCCTGAAAAGCCATCTTTTCTCTTTGGTTGTTTTAACCAAACCATTCATTATTTCTGAAGGTCAGGGATTTTACAAGCATGTAATACCTAAATGCCTTCCTCTGGATTGTTAAACCTGAAAGAGACCTTGTGTGCCTTTCCCATTTTGGGGACAGATTCTTATTTTGGATCCTATGCTCCCCTCAAATTATTTTGGGATGATGTAATTATTTTACACAATGAAGTTGTTTTCATCTTTCATTGTAACTTGAACACTGTGTAGAAACTGCCCAAACTGCTAGGTTAGGAAGTCTTATATTGGCTCAGTGGGAGAGACTGCTGGGATAGATTAAGGATGACTGTCCTGGGGGCAGGTCGAGTGGAGGCGCAAAGAGGCTGCATGCAAGCTACTTTTTGCTGATCTTGCTGCATCATTACATCACTGTCTGTGCACTTCCATATTCATCATCGTTTGCTGGCATTCAACTTAGAATGGTTTAGGTATCATCTGTTTTCTAGGTCAATAGCTTTTTCTTGCACATTTTATTCTTGCTTTGTAAAAACCAGAATGACATTACAGGAAGCTAATATTTGATCTTCCCCACTCTGTGAGCAGATACTAAGTATGAAAACCTTGGTAACTTCCTGTGTGACAGGATGACAGGGATATCTTTGGTAATTATAAGCTCCTAAAGATAGGGGGAGGAGGTGCTTGTTGCCAGAGGAACCAACCATGTGATCAAAGGGTTGATACTGACAGGACCCCCCCAGCCATATAGGGAATTGACAGAATCTGTTGAGCCAATCCCCAACAGCTACTGATTTAGTCAACTGTGTCTGGGTAATGAAGACTCCATAAAATCTCTAACCAAAGGACTTGGAGAGCTTCCAGGTTGGTGAAGACATTGAGGTGGTGAAGGGTGGTGTGCCTAGGTGGTAGGGCATGGGGCCTCCACCCTTTCCCTCATACCTTGTCCTGTGTATCTCTTCCACCTAACTATTCCTGAGTCCTTTCACTTATAAGTGGGTAAACACATGTGTTTTCCTGAGTCTTGAGAGCAATTCTAGAAAATCAAAGACGACGGTCCTGGAAGCCCTGATCTATACCCAGTTGGTCATGATTACAGGAGGCTGGCACTTGTGACTGTCATATGAAGCAGGGACAGTCTTGTGGGACTGAGCCACTTCATCTATAGAATTATATATAGAGTCATGCTAACAGTCATGGCAGAATTCTGCTGGAAGACACCCAACTGGTGTCTGCAGAGAACTAGAGAGCAATGATTGCTTCAGGAAATGCGTAGAAAATGAAATTCATAGATGCTTGTTTAGGTGCAAAAAACATTGAAATCCATACATACTGCTTTCATTATATGCTATATCCATATTTTTTTTTAAAGAATAAAAATTTCAATTTTTTCAAAAGGCAGGGAAAGAGGGAAGAAGGAAGGAGAGGGAGATGGATCCGCCACTTGCTGGCTTACTCCCCAAACACCAGCAACAGCCAGGGCTGGGCCAGGCGAAAGCCAGATCTTAGAACTCCATCCAGGGGGGTCTTTCATGTTGGTGGAACAGAGACCCAAGTAATTTCAAGCCATCACATGCCACCTCCAAGGATCACAGCAGCTGGACTGAAGTATAGCAGGCAGGGCTCAAACCAGTTACTCTCAAATGAGGCGCAGGTGTCCCAAGTGCCGACTTATCCACTATGCCAAATGCCTACCTGTTCCATAAACTTATTAAAAACCCTTTATGCATGAACTTCAAAACTGTTTTCATTTCCCCCAAGCCTTTTTAGTACTCTCATGGACATTACAGCTACATTAGAACTTCTCAGCTCTTACACTCTTCAGGGTAACTTAGCCACCCTACTCTGTGTATAGGTCAGAACTGTCTGACAATCTGCAAAAATATAGTTGAACTGCTAACTTCAGAAACAACTAGAGGGACCGGCGCGGTGGCCTAGCAGCTTAAGTCCTCATCTTCAACATGCTGGGATTCCATATGGGCACCAATTCTAATTCCGGCAGCCCCGCTTCCCATTCAGATCCCTGTTTGTGGTTTGGGAAGGCAGTTGAGGGCGGCCCAAAGCCTTGGGATCCTGCACCCACGTGGGAGACCTGGAGGAAGTTCCTGGCTCCTGGCTTGGGATTGGTGTAGCACCAGCCTTTGTGCTCACTTGGGGAATGAGTCATCAGGCAGAAGCTCTTCCTCTTTGTCTCTCCTCCTCTGTCTGACTTTGCAATAAAGGTGAATATATCTTTAAAAAAAAAAAACAACAACTAGAAGAACAACAAAATAATCCATTTGAGAAAATTGTCACATCCTATCTCTTTAAAATCATGTCATACACTTTAGAAAAGATAAATGAATTATGAACAATTTGCAGGACTATGGAAATATGTGAAAAACAGTTTCTCAGAAGAATACATCTTAAAAAAGAAACATTCAGCAATAGACCAGTTTCATACAGCTACCTGAAATTAATGAAGAAAAGCAGGATTTTGAAAAAAAAAAAAAGTCTCTTTAAATCTTTAACAATGAATTCAATCATTTAATTTTCCAAAAGTGTTTGAGTGAAACATATTTTGAAGACTGAGTTTCTGAAAAATGAAGTAGGGGGTAGGAATAGCAGATGAAGTTCTCAAATCTCTTATTTAAAAAAGTCAAGGGCCTGATGTGGTGGTCTAGTGGCTAAAGTCCTTTCCTTCCACTCACTGGGTTCACATATGGGCGCTGGTTCTGATCCTGGGAGCACCACTTCCTATCCAGCTCCCTGCCTGTGGCCTGGGAAAGCAGTCAAAAACAGCCCAAATCCTTGGGACCCTGCACCCGCGTGGGAGACCTAGGGGAGGTTCCTGACTCCTGGCTTCGGATTGGCGCAGCACCAGCCGTTGTGGCTACTTGGGGAATAAATCAACAGATGGAAGATCTTCCTCTCTGTCTCTTCTCTCTGTATATCTGACTTCCCAATAAAAATCTTAAAAAAATAAATTCACAAAATTGAAACAACTGCTTCAAAACAGACTATATTATATCTTATTTGCCTTCCCAAGAAATGCTAAAGACTCAAATAACTAGTAATAGAACTAATTAAGGGGATTTGGTAAGATGACTAAAGAGAAAAAAACCTGTAAGGCAATAGGTTTTATTTTTTACCACTGTAAGAGTTGGTAACACATGGGATACTTATCGAAACCTCATTATAAAAGTGGCAACAGTGGAGGTTGGTGGGGTGGCTAATCCTCCACCCACAGTACCTGTATTCATATGGGCA